TCCTGGAAAACCCAAGCTGACACGATGAGCTAGTAAAAAATCACTTTTTTCCATAATCCACTTATTCTAATTGAACACACTTTAAGAATCCTGTCTGAATTAGCAAGCTTCCCCCTTCCCCCTCCACAGCTTCTGTTGATGGGGGAGCCTGGGCAGCCGTAGTCATACCAAGTATTCTTGGACAACGTATAGACACTTGAACAAAGTTGGGTCAACCAGGGCCTTTTTTTAAATTAATTTTTTTCTGATTTGCAAGGTTCTCATCATTCTCTTAAAATTATTATTATTGAAGTATAGCTGACAATGTTGTATTAGTTTCAGATATGCAACCTAGTGACTCAACAATTCTAGACATTTTACTCTGCTCACCACAATAAGTATGGCTAACTTTTGTCACCATACAAGGTTATCACAATATTATAGACTATGTTTCCTATGCTGTGCTCCTCACCCCTGTAACTTATTTATGTGTAACTGGAAGTTTGTACCTCTTAATCCAATCAGGGGCTCTTTCTCAAGAACCTAAATGAAAAGATACTGAAACCAAGGTTATATGATACTGAGAAGCAGAGATGTAAATTCACATTTAGGGTTGAGGCCAGAATAAAGCAGAGCTATGAGGGCCTTGAAAGGAAGTGTCTACAGCAGATGCAGAGGAACGTGCAAAGTTGAAACACCATAGCTCACCACTTGGTGGACTGTCTGGTGGTTTCTTACAAAACTAAACACACTCTCACCATCCGATCCTGCCATTGTGCTCCTTGGTATTTATCCAAAGGAGGACCCTCTGTGCTCTTACAATGAGTTCCCTAATATTGAAGTTAGTTTGAGCCATTAAGCAGTTCTCAAGACAACTGCTCGAAAGCAGGTTTACATATTTATTCATCTCAGACTTGAGTTGAACCGAGTTCCTTTTCCAATACCATTAAAAAGGATTTAAAGTCGAGACCAAAGCGATGTTTTTTCATTCTTACCCCACTTGCCATATCCTATGAAGTGACATACAGTAATTAGGGTAAAGGGCCTTGTGTAGTGTAATGCTAATACTTTTCCCCCTTGGCTTTGTATTTCTAATCCACGTTCTTGCAAACCCACCAAAATCCAAGGTACTTTGAAGATCTACTTTTCCAAAATATAAAATGCAAATGGACCCAGAAAACTACATACAAATTTCAACTTAATTCAAGAAACTTTAAAACCAAGCACCTGTTCTGTGATAGCTAGCAATATGCTATTACCTATTGATGAGCATAAACATAACCCTAATACTAACTTCATTCACTAGAGAAGACATACATGCATGAAATTAAAAAAATAATATAACGTGTCAAGTTTATGTGGGCACTTTATTGCTATTGTGTTATGGCAGACAATCCATTAGCTCTAATCTGGCAGAATGATTACATCTCAGATCTTTACAGATAAACATTATTTTTCAAGTTAAAATAGCTTCATGTCATATCTGTTCACTCTGGCCAGTGAATTCTTTACAGGATGGATACAGGGTTGTAGTCACAATATCCTTGATTGATTGAGCTTCAGGACAATGAAGCAGGAAGATCAGGAAAATACTGCAGTGCTCTAGAGCTCGCTCTTTTGCTCCGAGAGTATTTAAACTCTTTCTTTTGTATTGTTGTTTTCTCATGCAGTGCAACTAGACACCATAAATATTAGTATTAATATGCATTTAATGTGAATATCAAATCTTTTATTCTTACTGGCATCTTGAATTTACAAAAATCATTTAAATTAATTCAGAATGAAAATGAGTCAAGCCAACCAGAAGATGTCATTTGAAAGATTCAAAAGATTTTGGAGTGTGTCTGAAATGATTCATCATCCAATTATTCACAAATGTTTAAAATAAATCCTTGATCAATAAGGTTTGGGACTTTAGAATATTAAGTGTTTGGTTATGACCTTGAAATAAACTAGCTCTTCTTTTTTTTTTTAAGATTTTATTTATTTATTTATTTGACAGAGAGAGACACAGCGAGAGAGGGAACACAAGCAGGGGGAGCGGGAGAGGGAGAAGCAGGCTTCCCACTGAGCAGGGAGCCCGATGCATGGCTCGATCCCAGGACCCTGGGACCATGACCCGAGCCGAAGGCAGACACTTAACGACTGAGCCACCCAGGCGCCCCTAAATTAGCTTTTCAAAACATACCAAATATAAATATTTTAATGAGATGATTTGGGGAATATACTTGTAAAAGTTACTCTAAGGGCAAACACCGCTTAGTAATTTATTTAATGTAAATTAGCCAGGGATTTACATTCCCTGTAAGTTTGTTCCAAATCTTTTTAATTTTACTCAGATCCCCATCCGGATACCACCTCTGTTATAATACCCAGCAGGTGAAATGGGGCTCTAATTATTTTGACTGATAAAAATCAGGAAACTCAACAAGTTTTCCTGTCTGGTCATCCCTCCTTCGCTCATGTAATAACCATCATTCCCCCTCCAAAGGGCACAGTGCCTCTTTCTTTGCCAAGACAAGCTCTTTCCCTCTAATTCTCACTCCCTCACCATAACATCCGATCTCTTCTGTTGCCTTTCTGCCTTCAAAAAGGCCTTTGCCTTCCATTCATAAACAAGAAACAAAACTGTGCAAGACAACTTTCCTTTATGTTCAAGTTGTCTTGAATAACACAGGCTTAGGGGTGCCTACCCCCATGCATCTGACAATCCAGTGTAAGCTGTGACTCCCCAAAACTGAATAGCCTACTGTTGACCAGAAGTCTTACTGATAACATAATACATAGTGTATATGTTCATATGTATTCTTAGAATAAAGTAAGCTGGAGAAAAGAGAACGTTATTAAGAAAACTGTAAGGAAGGGAAATAATTTGTAGTACTTACTGTATTTATCAAAAACAATCCACATGTATGTGGATCTGTGCAGTTCAAACCCATGTTGCTCAAGGGTCAACTGTACTCCTTCAAACAAGACCAACCTTTCTTCTTCCCACCCCCACTGCCCCACCACATTTCTTGACATAAGCAACTTCTTTTTCTCTTGAAAGGTTTGTTTCTTAGCTCCTCTAACCCCACAGCATCTGGAAAAACTGGGGCTCTCACCACTGTCCTAAGTACAAAGAGCTGGCACGTAAAGGTGGGCTAACGGTAGGCGACATCACTCCCGAGACCTGTGAGCCCAGACACCATTCCTTGGATTGCCTCGCTCTTCTGTCAACTTCTCCAAAGGCCTCCTCATTCCTATCCGAGTCCAGGACCTCTGCCTTCTAATTGTCTTTCTATGGCCGCGTCCTAAAAGTCCCCTTGCAGCGAGGATTCCGTTCCCTCCCTGCCTAGAGTCTGTATGCGTTCCCTGTGCCTGCCCCAGCCAGACGCTCACCTCTTAGGCTGTGACCCAGACTCGGCCTCCTCCTGCTTCCACACCCCACAATCATGCCACCTCACCCCTGTTCCACTCACTGCTCGGGACTTCCTGACTGCCAGGCCTGAAATGACTCTCCTCACTCTCTGGAGAGGCTGATCAGAATCTCCTGGAACTTCAAAGACCACACTGTCACTAATCTGTTGCCAGCCCAGAGTTGCTATCTGGAAGCTCTCATTGGAATCTCATGACATGGATCCCATCCTTGGAATGCCTTCCTTCATGAGGGTGCAGGTTCTTTGAAGAGGGCCTCTAGACACTCCGATGTAGAAGAGAGGACACAGAGTCGGAAGGATTTAGGTTTGAACCCACTCTTACTTCCTGTGTAGCCACAGCAGGTTACTGACCATCTTTAATCAACAATTCCCCCAAATGGAAAATTAAACCACCACCACCCCCTCCTAGAATTCTGCCACAAATTAGGAGAGAGAGCAAAGAAGTATCTCATACCCAAGTGTGTTTATAGATTTGCTATTTTTTTTTCCCTCTCAAGTCCAAATTATCCAGTCTGGGCTGAGGCAGCCTATGGTAATAAAACATGTCATTTTCCCCCCATTTTGTTTTGACAGGCTATAGAATATAAATGCAAACATTTGAATATTTCACACTCATTTTTTCTCTGGGGAAGCAGGAAAAGAAAACCGAAAGTATTTTTCCTTAAAATGAAGAGGGAGGGCGGGAAGAAGAAAGGGAGGGAGGAAGAGAAGGGGAGGAGGGAGGGTATGGGCCAGAAGGTAGGGTGGGAGAGAGGTCTGAAATGCCTTATTAAAGAAAATTGTAATGTTATTCAACTGAAAACACAGAAGTGCTTCCAAAACACTGTATGTGTCAAGCCCAATTCCTCTATATTTCACAATATTACAAACACAGGTTGGCCAGCGAATCAACAGTGTTTCCCATCCACTCGCCACGGCTACTCCCCAGGCTTTCTGAAGTAACCTGCTTGTATGACTGTAGATGAATCCGAAGCAACCGCCTGCCTGTTTTCTTAACATGGCTTGGCCAGGAGTTGTGAACATTGGCTCGGAAGACCTGATTTCGCAGTGACCAGCCAACACGCCTCACAACTTAGCACTGAGTAGGGCTGGGAGCCAAATTGGCCTTGGCTCTCTGCAGAAAAGAGCCTAAATAACCACAGCAAAGGCATGTGGGGAGGTTCTGTTCGAATTATGCAAGGAAGCTGGCTAAATTTGGTCATTTTCTAAGCTTCCCACAATGAAAACAGCAACTATAAATGTGAGAAAACGTCTCAGGACATAACTCCATATTATAGTACTGATCTGGTTCCCTTTTTGAGATGCTGAAGATGTCATCAAAAAGGAGCCTACATTACTTATAATCTTCCATAGAGCTTGGCTTCATATCATTCATCTTAAGAAAATCCCAAAACTTCAAAATGCATTAATCCCCAGTGAGCTGGATCTTCGTAATATATTCATTCTTAGTGTTTTGGCAAAGTAGCACCATGTCACTAGCTTAATTGGTGGCAGGTTATTTTCCAGTTGTCAAATGATCTTTTCCTACTTAGGAGTCAGAAATAAAAATACTCACTCATAAAGGAACTGAATAATTTGGAACACGAACAACATAAGTATTTATTTGAAAAACATTTTCCATTTAAGTAAAATGGCAAATCAGTTATAGTAGGCTTCTTACTACTAATTCTAATTTGCACTCACAGTTATTTTTATTCATCATATTCAATGATATTACTAAAGAAAACTATTTCACAAACTATTTAGGAAAAAATATATACAGTCTCTCCAATAGAAAGTTAATTAAAAAAACAAATCCAGGCAATATAAAGCTAAGATATGAAACAAGCTGGCATTTATAAACACAATAAATAAATATGTACAAAAGAGTCTGTGCCAACAATGGACAAAGAAAAGCTTCAAAACGGCAGGGAACGATGATAAGAATACAAAGTATCTCAGGACACTAGACTAAGACTAACACAATGTAGTTAAAAAAAGAGGAAAAAAGAAGAAGAAGAAGAAAAACCCCAGGGAATCTGAATTGCTATTATTCTCAAGGTTAAGGTGAACTGAATTTTGGCTCCATAGCTAAATTCCTGCAATTCTTTTTTGAGGGAAACCAATGAAGGTGAGAAGCCCATGCTTGGAACTGGGGTAGAATTTGGCTCAGTCTTTTAAATCCATCTGCAAATGTTTTTATTCAGCTGTTGTTTCTTCATTTCTCCTTACCTGATTACTGGAAATTTCGAAAGCGGAGTTGACATTGTTGTCAGTGATAAAAAAAAAAGAAAATAGTTTCCCAGGTCTGAATGAACAGGAGTAGAAATGAAGGCCATTTTGGAAGCTATCTCTTAAATACTATTAACTAAATATGAGTAGAAATCTTTGGGTAGAAATCTCACAGTAGAACGCTAATGAAATTCTCTCATGAATCTCTAAGGCTTGGGGGAAAGTATATGAAGATTCAGTAACGACTTAAGACTAATTTTCGTCTACACGTAACCTCTGCCAGAATAAGCAGCCTGTTAATAATACACCCATAGAAAAGGATTTGGCTCTACTGTAGCAAATCTTAATGACCTTGAGGTTTACTATCCTTTCCTACTATATACACTCCTCCCCTATGAAAGTCAAGCGGGGTAACGCTCATGTCTCCCAGGCCTGGTCCAGGCTGCTGCAAAATGAAATGGCAATAAAAACCCACCATCATATTATCTTATCATCCATTTAAGTCTGGCAAATAGTTTATGACTGGAGATCAGCAAAAGGTGAGAGACCCCCTGGATGCTGCATAGCCTGAGAGCTCTCCTAGGTCTCAGACTGAGAGGCACCTCCTTTTTGCACAGAGAGAAAGGCCCCCAGGTGCTCAGTTCTGGCTTCTGTCTTTAAGCAGACTGGCGCTTCCTTATCTTCTCATCATGTGGGCTAATGTCTCCTAGAACCTGATGCTTCCCAGATAACCCAGAGCAAATGTAAAAGTACAACATGTATTGAGATCAATTTCTAAGGACCTAGATACAACTCCATCAATTAAGAATAATTTAAATGTCATCTCCAACACATTCACTAGGAAGCAGATCACTTAGGGTAGTTTGAAAATTAGGTAACCTGCTTAATATGCATGCCTTGTACGCAGAAACCTAATTTATTTATCTATCTTGCCAGACCTCCTCTGGCTCTTATAATCAGAGGACTGGTGTACAAATGGTTTTTAGACTAACAATTGCAGACCAACATGTTTATAAATTATTTTGACTATGACAAGTCACCCATATGTCTCAGTTTATATTCTTTGGAACAAAACACTTGAAAAGGAAGTAAGAGGCTTTCCAATTGTGCAAATGGAAATGTCTTAAAGTCCCTAGAGCAAGGACAGGACCATAGAATCTCAATGATTGTATTTTCTAAAAGGGAGAGACTATTATACAGTGTATATATAGTATGCCTGATGGAACTCCTCGTTCCTCCCATGAGTCTATGGGCTCAACAGATAGAAAAGGAACAAAACCAGAAGTCTAAGGGATTCATTCTTCAACAAGTAGTGGGAAGTCCACACTAATGGAATCTCAACATTACACTTTACTCAAATGTATGGGATTAAATTCTAATTAATGATGATGCTTAAACCTTGTGTCTTGAGTAGGATAAGTGAAATAGTAGAAATTTACAGGGCCTCATATTCACTGGGTCAAAATTTTAGAAATTCTTTCTCAAGCACATTAATGTTTTGAAGGTAAAACACTTGGTATAATAAGAACAAATTCCTTTCTAATCGTTGGGTCAGGCATTAAGCATTTTTTTGTATCTGTGGTTGAAAATTTATGGAAAGAGGAAATGTTATTGCATTCATAGAAACTGGCACTGAGAAGGAACTTGAGGGCATCCAAATAGTTGTGACTATTTTACACTATTTGTCCATTTGTCCACAAATGGACTATTTGTCCATTTTACTTTACTTTACTTTACTATCCATACGCTTTTTATTGTTGAGAAAGATGATACAGCAAATGGCTATATCTAAAACCTAATAGGGGGGCGTGAATGAGCTCTAAGCTATGCTTGTCCCTCGCTCTGCCCCTCCTTTGTCCACTGACTTTAATGTCCCCCACTCTCCCTGAGTTCTGATTAGTCCAATCCAATTATATATTTTAAAAAATCATATCCCCTGTGGCTACTGGGACATGTTGCTCTCAGTACTAAAGTTTTAGTGATGATCAAAACTCCCCCATGGAAGAAATACACTGAAAAGACAGATTTTTTTATATTTCACAAAAGCCTTCTTAACAAAGTACATTCCTCATACACGTACACACAGTTATCTAGGTCACAGCACATTCACATGTGCTAGTCATGGTTTTCCCTGCTTGCAGAGCTTCATGTCTCCGTAGACAGATTCTTCTGTTATATACTAAACACATTAAAATTTTGTGCTGTGGCTGAAGGTGTCTGACATGATAATATTTTTATAGAAGTTGTCTGAATGAGCATTGCAATAACCCTTGACCTTGTCAATGACCTGGTGGACAGGGATGATTGATGTTTGTTCTCCATCAGCATGGGTCAATTTTGACGAGGATTTGTCCACGAAAGCATTGTCTGCAAGAAATGATACCATAAATTAGACTGCGAGATGAAGTGACATGCCTAAGGGCCACCAAACTGGACACTATTTTGCACATTACAGAAGTACACAAAGGAAATGAAGGCCTGTTCTTTCTTAGGTTAGGTAATAGGCAGCACTAACATTTCATGCTTTTCATCTTCAAAGTGCATTCCTATGCATGAATGAATGTTAATTTGCCTTCTAGTAATGTATGTTGGAATTTGTTTCAAGAAATGTTCCTGTAAAGTGGCATTTTTCAAAGAGTCAGTGAATAGAATAATCAGAAAATTGCCACAAAAATATAATGTGGCAAGTAACTCAAAATAAGCAGAGACAGATTATATGGCAAATAAACTAAAAGTTGCCAAAACATCTATGAAAGAAATGTTTGATGTCTAAGATAGGATTTCAAAATAATACAGGGTGAGGGAAATGGGTAGGTGGCCATGAGTTGACAGGTACAAGGGGACTTATTACACTATCCTCTCTACTTTTTATGTATGTTTACCACTCTTCATAATAAAAATTTTTATAAAATATAATATAAAAGATGTTGGAGAACAAAGTGAATGAAAATAAACATGAAAGTGTATTTTGGACTCATTTTCCCATCTTTTTTAACTTATAAAATGATTGGAATACAGAAAAAGGCATCTTTTATTAATTATTTTTAAATTATAACAATTAAAATTATCAGAAGTATTTTAAGTCTGTGTTTTTATTATCTATGCTACATTCTCAGAATGATGTTATTGTTGATGGTAATAATATCAGAGCAACTGATGGTAATAAAGGACTGTTAAATACATTTCTGTTCTGAATTTCCCAATTTTATTTATTTATTTATTTTTAAGTTTTAATTTTAATTCCAGTTAATTAATACACAGTGTAATATTAGTTTCAGGTGTAAAATTTAGTGATTCACTGCTCAATATCATGTATTTAAGTATTATTTCCCTAGACCCAAAACCTTTCTAAAATTATTTCAGATAGTAGTCTGAAACTCACATCAGCCCTATTATCTTTACAAATATATACGACTGTCTTCATGTACCCTATGAATATCTTGTAAGTATCGACTCTCTTCCCCTTCCCAACACATTTTGGTGAAAAATTTTACCCTAAAATTAACCACAGGGATCTCACACCAATGAAGGAACAAATGTGACCTTCTACAAAGTATTCAGTTCCCTACATTGTATATTCTCTATTTACTGTGGAAGAGGCAAAAACTCTATCATGAAAAATTGCTTCTAGGAATCATGGCTCCAAATTTGGAATGTTCATTTCAGGCATTTTTATGTTTTGAGTAAGTTGCCCCCAGCATGTGACATAACATGAAAAATCCATCAGTAATTGGTAAAAGCCATCATTGCTGTATCTGCTGTCTTTGGAAATGACTCAAACTGTTCAACTACTGTCTTCTGTTGAAGGAGACACTAAATAAAATGAAGGCTAAAAGAGGAAATGGTGTGTCCACCCCATACTAAAGGAAGAAAGAGAGAATAGATGGCTCATGGGAAGAATGGCAGACTGAAGCATGGCAGAAGGATTACATCTCAGGACTGGTGAGGAAAGCCTTAGGGAGTCATTTTAGAAAGTCCCCCTCCCCATTTAGCTCTCAGCAAGCTGACCGATTCTGTGCTTCCTTCAGTTCACATATTCACTAGCCATTGGTTTTCTATTGGGGATTTTTCTATTAATTTAAACATCAGTAACAAATAATTTGTGCTTGATGTTTTTAGAAAAACCATACATCCTCAGAGAAGCTTCAAGGATACACTCATTCTGCTTCATTGACAACTTCCAATGGCATGTGCCTTTGAGAGATTTTTGACCAGCTCCTTTCCAAATATGTGATCCAATTTTCTGGGTCTTCATAGTCAATAAAGTAGAATTGTGAGCAAGGGCTGTATTTCAACATGTATGCTATTCCCAGTCCTCTGGTTAGACATTATATCATTAACAATAGAGATTTTGATTACAGCAGCAAGTTTGAAAACCAGGGGCTAGGGAAATGAACTATTATTTGACCTATGCTGAAATATCAAGCAGGTAAAAATCTTCAAAAAGCAGGCTTGGAATTGACAATTTCTCTATTATGACTTCTATGAATGTACCATGACATAGCCAGTAATTCATAAGAGGAGTGGAAAAGAATTTCACTCTTTTCTATAACAAACTTCTCAAGTACTGCTTTTTTTTTTTTTCCATTATTTTACCTGATATGTGACCCATTAACTCCAGAGCATGGTACATTTCCTAGAAGGAGCAGTTTGCAGACACCCCATGCAGAGAAGAACCAGCACAGCACACAACCATTTGAAATTTCAGAAATTCCAGCTCAATGCAGGAATGTCATTGTGCTAGCTGAGAAGTATTGTAAAGAACAAGCAATTTTGCTGGTGCGGCAAGAGTCTTAGTTTAATCCATGCAAATATCCTTTTATTACCTTGCAAAAAATTCATGCATTCAAAAAAGTAAGAAAAGTTTACCTGAATGATCCACTTTTGCTGAAGGAATGCTCTTAGAAGACATTATCTACACCATAAACATATGAATTTCTAGATCAATTCCAAGAAATAAACCAACTAGATATCCATGATGATATGCAATGACTTTTTGCATACTCCAAGGGACCCAAGTATACCAGCCGTCACACTGAGAACTGGCGAGGTAGCTAAAGGCCATTTGTACATCAGTTGATTGGAAACCATAAATTACTATGTCACAGAAGTAATGTCATATAGCTGACTTATGCTAGTTGACAAGAACTCATTTAACGCCAAGGGTTTTGTTATGGGAAACAGAAACACAATAATGCATTCCTTAAAAAAAAAAAAAACATACACAACACTTTGAAATAGTAAAGTTTTTCATTGGCACTTCCATTTTTGTATTTCCTTTTATCTTTTGGTCAGTTTTCCCCATGATCCCTAATATGCCTAAATATTTCATTAAGACTTCCAAAATGCCCGCTGTTCCAAATAATCTACTTTGTTATCTTCTTTCCCCTTTCGATAATGGCATTTTTCTGGCTAGCTATTCTCAGCTATGTTAAGAGGAAAACAATTTAGTTGGTCTAATCCCTGTTCATTCACAACTGATGTATAATGCACTGTTTGCATTTTAGAAGGGCAGGCAAAATGAGTATTGTTTTATAAATGGGATTGTTTTAATTTCTCTTTCCGCCACTTCATTATTAGTGTATAGAAATGCAACAGATTCTAGTATATTAATTTTGTATCCTACAACTTTACTGAATTCATTTATCACTTCTAGTTGTCTTATGGTGGAGTCTTTAGGGTTTTCTAAGTACAGTATCATGTCATCTGCAAATAGTGAACGTTTTACTTCTTCCTTACCAATGCAGATGCCTTTTCTTTTTCTTGTCTGATTGCTATGGCTAGGTCTTCCAAAACTACGTTGAATAAAAGTGGTGAGAGTAGACATCCTTGTCTTGTTCCTGATCTTAGAGAAAAAGCTCTCAATTTTCACCACTGAGTATGATGTTACCTGTGGGTTTTCTCATATATGACCTTTATTATGTTGAAGTATGTTCCCTCTAAAACCTACTTTGTTTTTATCATGAATGAATGTTGTATCTTGTCAAATGCTTTTTCTGCCTCTATGAAGATGATCATATAAGTAACCAGTTTTATGGCTGATTAAATAAAGTGAAAAATTCATTCCTTATAAATAAAAGATATTTTGTGCCAGGGAACTAGGTAGAATAATCTATCTCAGACTATACACCTGTCAGAAATTTTCTTACACTGGTGTTTAAAGAAGGATAACAGACCTCTTAATTTTAGGCAGAACTGTTTGTGTACAGGACTCGGAGGCTGCATCTTATAATGGAAGAGAGTCCACAGTTTTTATTTGATTCTTGTGAATGTCCTCTACTCCAAGAAATTTTTACAACTGCTATCCTAAGCTGCTCTAAATTTTCAGATCTTTAATTTTGTAATTAACAAACTCTCTAAACACTCAAACATTTTTCCATAGTGCTACCTTGAATCTCAGGCAGTGGCCATTCCAGTGGCAAGTTACAGACTGTGGCGTAAGCAGGGACATGTAAAACAATTCAAATGTACATAATGGTCATTTGAAGTTCAAATGTTTGCAAAATGAACATTTACAGATATACACTTCCTATTTGCAGAAAGCCAAATATGAATCTCTTCAGTGTCATTCACCTCTGCTTATGTTTAATAACTAAACAAATTCAAAATTAAGTTATTTCCATTATCCTTTTAGAAGCATCTTTAATTAGGAAAGTGCTGGTGCTAAGTGTTGACAGCTGTTTGCTTGAAGTATAATTAGTATTTCAAAATAGCAATTCTGGTTTTTTCCTTTGAAGTTATTAAAAGATTGCAAATTTCCACACCATTCACTGGCTATCAAGTACTGCAAAAGAATCTTTATCTCCGCATTGTCTTCAGGATTGTTCATGCACATGCTCAGTGTCAGAACCTGTGGTCATTGCAAATATCATGACAATCCAGAAGATGAACAAAGACATGTTTCTCACCATCTTGTACCACTTTCCAAATATGATGCTCTCTATTTTATCGTATTGAATCAGTGATTTAAAGAGCAATTGGCAATAACACTTTCAATGGTTAAGGACTTAAGTCTTAAATGTAATATATCCTGGATGGTGTTTCTACCTATTCCCATGTCAACTTGTCAATTAACTTTCACAATAAGTTATAAAACCTGAAATACGCAGTATTATGAATAATTGCAACTCAGTTTCTATATTTTTAAAATAAAAACATAACTTTTTAAATACCATATTTTTGAAAAGACAACAAAGGTTTGAATCAAATGAAGTTACAATAATATTCAGAGCTAATAATATTATGGCTATGTAGATTCAATTTTGGTTCTAAAACTTAAAAAAAGAAAGACAAAACATTCACAAAAGTGCCGCATAAGGTCGGTCTTCAAATAGATTTTGATTTTCATAAATCTAACATAAACACCCTAAAGGGCACTGTTATCTATCAAGCTTCATGATATGCCAATTGTAATAAAAAGATGATGAGAAATGGACCAGAGAACATCTTTGCCACCGTCAGAATGACTCACCAGTGTGGCTATTCCTCTTGAAGTAAGTGGTAGAGCTGGATTTGGATTTGGATGTAAGGTATGTTGAGTTGGACCCAATGGAGCTTGAGGACAAAGATTTTCCTAGATTATCAGAACTTTTCTTGATGATATTGGTAGCTGTCTTGCTCCAGTCTGAAAGAAATAACATCTCTCCATGAATGTGTTTTGGGGAGCATATGGTCTACTGTGAAGAATCAACACCACATTATTTAATTTATCCAAAGCATTCAATTCTGTATATGCTAGCAACGGCTCAGAGAAGAGACTGGCATATAAACTGAAGAAGTAAATTTCAAACTCTGACCTGTTGCACATATTGTTTAAAATCCTACTTCAATTTTGTAAGGGTGAGAGGTAATCACAGCCAAAAAAAGTAATACTATTCAAGTATTTTTTTTTTATAACGAGAAAAATGTCTTTGCCTAAAAATGTGATTGAGGGCCTCAAAAACGTGGAAAGAAGCACATCGTATGGTGGAACCTCTGGATACCTGAGTTGTTAAATTAGACACAAAATCTTGGACAACTCACTTCACCTGGCTGGAATTCATGCTTCTCAGTGGAATAGAAGGGTTAGGCCCAGAGTCCTCAGACCGCTTGCAGTCCTAATATTCAAAGACTCCAACTAAGTGTCTTCATGTGCACCACCTTTACAATTCGCTACCATTGGGACTGGCTGCTCTGACAATGGAAGACCAGAGGAGGAAGGTTTCTGACTACTCTTAGGTATAAAAACCAATTACCAACATGCCACTTTACCTGAGTTGTCTGCTAACCGAAATCTACCACAGCAGAGATGCCGCCTCCACTGTTTCTGAACATTCTCCTTCATAGCACAGTGGAAAATAAATATAAATAAGCCTGGAACAAAAGAAAATATAAACATTTAAGCCAATAGACACATTTTTAAAGATAAATCTTGTGAAACACATGGATTCATTTTAAGTTTTTTTTTTTTTTTTAATGTCTGAGTCACTAAGGAACTAGAATAATTACACATATCTGATTCTGTCTTTGCCTGTTCTGTTCAGCAATTGTTATGACTTGGCCCAAAGGTTAAGCTGAAATGGGCAATTTTCAATTTAAGAGGCCTTTAATACTTCCCCTATGTTTGTTTTAAAATTCTGTGAAAGCATCACAAAAATCATAGAAAAAAAGAGAAAACTGAAAGTATCTATAAGCTCTGTTGCAGTTTGTGTATTCTAAGCTATTTTATGTGTACATATTATTGTAAATTTGGGCCATAGAAAAATAGTATTTTTGCACGTCAAAAATGGCCAAAAATCAGCAAATTCATCTGGCTCTACCTGGACTGTTTTAGTTTCTCAACATTTTTTAAAAAATTTTATTTATTTGAGTGAGAGAGCGAGTACCCGAGCGAGTGAGAGAGAGCACAACCATGAGGGGCAGAGGGAGAAGAGGAGAGAATTTCAAGCAGACTCTGTGCTGAGCGCAGAGCCCAACAAGGGGCTTGAACTCTCAACTCTGAGATCATGACCTGAGCCGAAACCAAGGGTCGGACGCTTAACCAACGATGCCACCCAGGTGCACCCTGCCTTTCTATATTTTCTATGGCTACACTCCAGTAGGTGCTCATTTTCTCCAGCCTTGTGCTATGAGTGCCATATGCTAATTTTTACATTTGTCCCCATTCGCTTCTCTTCCCGCCACCACCACCACTTACAGGACATCTTCATTGGCTGTATCTCTACTTAGCAGCATCTCAAACCCCTCATGTTCCAGATAGACACCCTCTTCATCACTACCCTCAAACCAACATCTCACCTCAAGCTCATTCCTGCCCAATACCATGTCAAAGGCTCTTCTTTCAAATCTTTCCATAACTGCTTCCTATCTGTCACTCAGGTGTTAGATCAACTGTTAACTCCTCAAAGAGGCCACAACCAACTGTTTATTTCATTTTACTTTTATGTTTTGGCTCTAGTCACACCCTTGCACACTAATCAGTACCTGATATCCTTGTATTCCTCATTTATTCATTTATTTGTTTGCTTGGTTGTCTTTTGCTAGTAGATCATAAGCTCCAAGAGCACAGGGATATTTGTCACTCAATGCTGCACTGGCTGGCCGTGCCCAGAAGGATACCAGAAACTAAGCAGGAGCTCCATGAATGTTGAATGAATGACTAAGAAGCGTGATTAACTGCTCATCTATTTACATGAGTTAACTGAATACTTATATGTACACTCTAATGTGTTAACTGGATTTGGGGGTGGGGACGAGTAAGAGTAGAACACAAATTAAGGAGCCACAGAATATAATGAAAATATATTTAAGGCAAAAGTTTCTAAAAAGTATGCAACCTAGTTGCCAAAGTACTACCTTAGTGATATACCACAGTAACCAGAATACCTACATAAGGGAGGGTCTTTTAGAGGACATAGAGCTTAAAGTGAACCTGAAGAAAGCTTTGGGTAGGGAGGCAAAAGAAGTTCCCCAAAAGGGTAATTCATTCAGTGACTACTCAGCACTATTAAGCAGGAGGAACCGTTGTTTTAGGAGCTGGATATTCACATGCAAACAAGGTAGATGATCACTGCTTTCATGAGGCGATGGGTCTAGCATGGAAAGATGTAAAAGTAAAAAATATTATAGTACATTTAAGGGACATTAAGACTTTAAGACTTATCTGTTCTTTTCAAATATGGAGTACTCATCAAGAAAAGTGTAAATTACGTTGTAGCCTATACAACTGGAAAAGTGGGGAAAAGTATTGAGAGTACTCTCTTTTGATGTGTGTAGTTAAACTTGGAAAATATGTCTATGGTTATTCTTGTATGTTTTTATGTTTCAATATCTTAACGCAAAATGGCCCAGAATTCTATTCCAGAATAAATTGCATTATGAACTATTAGAAAAGAAACATGCTGGATTGCTACAGGATGGGCCCTGATTTCAGTGAAGGACCCTGGCTGATTCTCCTCCTCTGGGATTGACCTCTTTGATCATCAATGAGTGCCCGACACTCAGGAGGTGCTCTATAAATTCCTATTGCTATCCCTGGTCACTGATTTCAATAGGTAGCTAGCCTATTAAAAAGTTCCTGGGAAATACAAATGCATTCATCTCTAAGAGGTATAAATAAAACATACAATGACCTAGGTGAAATAATACTGGTCATCGGTAATGTTACCAATTTATTCTTTTTATGATTACATCATCTATATATCTTTTATTTATTATTTTATTACTGATATTTTATTCTTAATAATTAGTAAAGGAAATACATCCTAGTGACCTAGTTATTTGTCCAAAATGATAACAGATTTCAATCATTCAGAAAACAAACGAACACACACATATACAGCTCGTGAGGACCTGTGCTGTGGGCAGGAGGGTGGCAGCTCCGTTGGGCAGGGGGAGCCGGAGAGAGGAGACCTGCTTGCAGACCTGCCTGGCTCAGGCATGACAAGTCTCAGAGTAGGGGGTAAGATTTTCTTCCACACCCCAAACCCTCATAGTCAGCACCTGCAGGCTGACCCACCTTCCCAGGGAGTACGGAGTAGACATCACTGGGTTCGGACCTCACCCTCACACTGACTGACTAAATCTGATTGCTTGTCAAAACCTTCCCACACCTACAACCCCAATTCCCTATGCCGTTTGCTGATACAGATAATCCCTTTAATAGGTAAACATGCCTTTCAGTAGCACTGGTAGTGTGAGTAACCAAGATATATAAATAATTTGAATTGGTTAACAGAGTCTTTGAAGTTTCTACAAGGGGGTGGCAGTTTCTGAGGAAAGGGAGCAGGGCACATGAAAGCCTAAGGTCAACACAAGCCACAGATGAAGGGAGCTGCTGTTTGAGGGAACAGAGCCCCTGCCTTGGGTTTTTGTGAACTGGGGCAGAATTTGCAGGGTTTGTTCTTGGAGGTATTTTTGTCAGATAGCTGAAAACCCAGGTAACCATGTGTTCTTAAGCCACTGTTTCACAAAAATTATTAAATATTAGGGCTAGGAGAGATTACAAACTTCAATTAGAAACTTTGCTCCCCAGAAGTCACTCAGGATAGGGCCTCACACTGAGCAAATGATTTCCTTTTAGTTGAGGGCAGAAGGTGAAAGTTGCCAGATGTTGCTTCCTTTGTGTTGCACTCAGCAATTTTTTACGCATGTCCTATCTACTCGAGGAAAAAAAAAAACTTTAGGGGTTATGTCTGGTGTTTTGAGGACACTGGGAGGGAACTAGTTCTTGGATTCACTTTGTCACCCTTGCTGGGATGCTAAGATGGGCATTACTTTGAGGATCTGATGCTGACCACAGTCACGAGGAGAAGGTTAAAGATAAAACTGACTTAATAAAACAATTTTTTAGATTGTGCAGTGCTGTTCTAAATTATAATTGCACAGCATTAGATGATATTGCCTATATTTAAGCATCTGCATGTGCCAGTAAATCTACAGGCATCCAGTAAGTTCAAGAGACGCTGGAATGTAAATTAGATTCAAAATCTGAACATCTCTTCTAAACTGCTGTGATTGCAGTCATTGAAATTGCCCCCCCCCGAACTGCAATGCTATGAAACAAAATTAAATGATAGGCACGAGAAATTAGAATTCTTAGGAGTTAATATATTTTTAAATGCCAAGGTATTTAAAAATACCTGATTCTTTAGCCATGAGATACATTTCCATTTTAAATCAGAATAGGATACTCGTAATATATTTTACTATTCATAGTAACTAGTCCTTTCCATGTGAATTAAATTAGTCTGGCAATAGATACTGTACCAAAATTCCCTACAGGACAAAACATCCCTTTTACAGTTCAGCTGTGGGAAATGTGGTAGGTATGCACATCTGGAAGAATGCACATACTCAGTATGCTGAGAAATTCTAAATACTTCAGGGAGGAGGAGGAGAAAATGCAGCAGGAGAGCCAAGGGAACTTGGAGGCCAAAGTGAAAAAACAGAGGGCTACTCCCTCTTCAGTTTTGAAGGGTTTTTTTTTTTTCTTTCTCATCTATTTATAGGTCTTGGTGCCAGAAGCAGAACTAAAATCATAAAACTTTAGAGTTCTACACTGACATCCAAGGGAATCTGTTTGATTTCTCATCCCCATCTCTGCTCTCTTTCTAGCAAATGTTTTCCCTTTGAGAATCTTCCTATCAACCACATGGCACCTCAAAGAGTATTTCCATACCACCTGGAAAAATATGCTCTTCTAGCTTTCTGGAAAGGGCTTTCCGCTGTGACCAGGGACCAGGATAATTGGCCTTTACTATTTCATACAGACTTACAGCTTTATTTAACTGACCAGGGAGTAGAGAACATTGCTCATAAAAATTAGAAGCTGAAATGGGTGAAAAAAACTGAATCAGAATTGAAATCTTTACTTCATCCTGACAGGCTAGTGCTAGTTCCATGAAACCTTTATCATCTCACAAAACACAGCTCATGAATTGTGAATTTTAGCCTGAAAGACCACCACTCTAATGAATCCAAGCCAAAGTTCCTGAGCAATAGTTTCTTTGACCTGATAACAGCTTCGATTCTTTATTTTACCTTCATGAACCCAGATTCTATGCTGGAACAAGCATAAAACAGACAGATTCCCAACCCCTCCTCTACCTGTCCATCCCCCTCACCCTTGCTTTCCCTTTACCACACCATCTTTCACTAACCAGAGGGACCTGCTCCCTTAAAAAACAAAAATTTAGACCAATATGCAAATTCAAGATGTTTACTTCTCCATAAACTGCAATGTTCTTATTTAAAATAAGTGACATTTTCAATTTTGATGGCAGATGGTGTTCCAAGTATGTGGGATGGTGGGTCTGCTCAGGGGCACTGCCAGGGAAGAAAAGGTAATGAACTCCACCTCCTCAAATCTTCCC